GGCTTGTGGAGGCGGCAGGTGAAGAGGCAGGGCCCCTGACAGAGGCTTTACTGGCTGTGGTGATGGGGATCGAGTTGGGGGCAAGGGTCCCAGCCTAGACTGTTGACATCCCCTTGGGAAGGGGACCCAAGGATGAATTGGCTGTGAAGGAGCCTCCCGGAGATTGGCAAGGGAGGAGGCTGAGCAGAAGGAGTCGTCATGGAAGAGTGGTGAGAACATGGAAGTGGACCCCAGGATGATGGTCTGAAGACCCAGGAGTGAGAAGCCAAGGCCAAGCGTCTGGGCATGGGGCCCACAGAAGCAGAACAGCCCAGGGCCCCAGGTGCCTGGCCTGGCCTGGCCCTCTGGAGTTGAGATTAAAAACTTTGGAGTTGGAAACCTGTGTTGCGTGGTGTTTCTGCTTCTGTTCCTTGGGAATATCCCCCTCCTTTCACCCACCAAGCAGGGTCTTATTCAGGTCTTTGTGACCAGACACAGACCATCCTTGCATGTGAGAGTTTAATAAGTATTGGGACAGGGTGGAGTTCCCAGGCTGTGGCTTAGGATGTGGTTTTGGGCCCCAGGGGAAGCCTGCTTCTTGCTGTCAGGGCCTCATTGCTCTGACATAGCCACCCAGCTGGACACACAGACCTTGCTCAGGGCTGAGAGGGTCGTGCTGAGGGAATGCTGTTAGCCTGATGATGTGTTGAAGGTCTTGGCCTTACTTTTTTCTGGCCCATCTTGAGCCCCCATTGTCTGGCTCCCTTTTCATCTCCTGGGCCACATATCCTACTGCTGTCTGCCTGGGGGAAGACCTGCTGTGCTTCTGGACTCTCTGAGCCCTGTCTTAGTTGTGCCCAGAGACAGCCAAAGCCCTGTGCTGGCATTCAGGAGAAGGAAAGGCTCACATTGCTTTGGTTTCCAAGGCAGGGTCTCCATCACCTGACTTCCAGATCTTTTTTTTTTTTTTTAACTATCATTTTGCTTTAGATTCAGGGGGCACGTACATGTTTGTTACATGGGTATATTGTGTACTGGAGGGGATTGGGTTTCTAGTGTACCCATTACCCAAACAGTGATCACTGTACCTGGTAGGTAATTTTCCAGCTCTTGCCCTGCACCCACCTGCCCCTCTTTTGGAGTCCTCAGTGTCTGTTATTTCCATCTTCATACCCATTGTTTACCTCCCCCTTATAAAGGAGAACATGCGGTATTTGGTTTTCTGAGTTAGTTTAGTTAGGATAATGGCCTCCAGCTCCAAACATGTTGCTGCAAAGGAAACCTGTGTTGCGTGGTGTACATGCGAAAAGGAAAAGGTACATGTATACCATGGGATACTACACAGCCCTGTGTAGTATTCCATGGTATACATGTACCTTTTCCTTTTCCTTTTTTTTTTTTTTTTTTTTTTTTGAGACAGGGTCTTGCTATGTTGCCCAGGCTAGTCTCAAACTCCTAGGTTCAAGCAATCCTCCTGCCTCAGCCTCCCAAAGTGCTGGGATTTACAGGCATGAGCCACTGTGCCAGCCAACATTTTCTTTATTCAGTCAACCATTGATGGAACTTAGGTTGGTTCTGTGACTTTGCTATTGTGAATAGTGCTGCAATGAACACAAGTACAGGTGTCTTTAACATGATTTATTTTTCTGTGGGTAGGCACTCAGTTGTGGGGTTTCTGGGTCAAATGGTAGTTCTAGTCTTAGGTCTTTGAAAAATTTCCATACTGTTTTCAGTAAAGGTTGAGCTAATTTACATTCCCACCAACAGTGTGTAAGTATTCCCTTTCTTCACATCCATGCCAAGCTGTTGTATTTTGACTTTTTAATAATTGGTTGCAGATGGAGAGCTGAGGTTGGTGCTTGCTGTCTCAGCCTCTGTGAGTGTTGGTCCGGGTCTCTGGTTTTCAGGCTATGCATTAGAACCAAACAGAGAGCTTTGAAAAACTGTCCATGTGGTCAAGGCGGGCAGATCACAAGGTCAAGAGATTGAGACCATTCTGGCCAACATGGTGAAACCCCATTTTTACTAAAAATACAAAAATTAGCTGGGTTTGGAAGCGCATGCCTGTAGTCCCACCTACCCGGGAGGCTGAGGAAGGAGAATTGCTTGAACCCAGGAGGCAGAGGTTGCAGTGAGCTGAGATTGCACCACTCCAGCCTGGGCAACAGAGGAGACTCTGTCTCAACAACAAAAAAAGAAAGAAAGAAAAAAAAGAACCATTGATGCCTGGGCCCTTTTTGCTCACATTGGACTAGGCATCGGTATTTTATTTTTACTTTTTGGAGTCTTGCTCTGTTGTCCAGGCTGGAATGAAGTGGCACAATCTTGACTCACTGCAGCCTCCACCTCCTGGGTTCAAGCAATTCTCTTGCCTCAGCCTCCCAAGTAGGTGGGATTACAGGTGCCCCCACCAGGCCCGGCTGATTTTTTTGTATTTTTAGTAGAGACAGGTTTTCACCATGTTGGTCAGGCTGGTCTCAAACACCCTCCTTGGCCTCCCAAAGTGCTGGGATTACAGGCATGAGCCGTCATCACTCCCAGCCAGGCCCTATCTTCAAATATAGTTACACAGGGGGTTAAATTTCAATGTGTAAATTTGGAGGAATGGGACACAAACATTCAGTCCATAACACTCCCTTTCCCCCAACCTTAGACAACCACTAATCTACATCTTATCTCTACATATGACCTATTCTGGACATGTCATATAAATGGAATCATAATGTGTGATCCTTTGTGTCTGGCTTCTTTCACATAGCATAATGTTATCAAGGTTCATCCACACTATGGCATTTTATTTCTTTTTATTAGGAATAATAATTTCATTTTACGGATTGCTATGGCTTGAACATGTCCCCTAAAGTTCTTGTATTGGAAACTTAACCCCCAGTGCAACTGTTGAGAGGTGGGAACTTTAAGAAGTGATTAGGTTATGTGGGCTCTTCCCTCATGAAAGATTAATGGCATTATTTTGTGAGTAGGTTAGTTATCAAGGGAGTGGACAGTTGATAAATGGATGGGTTCTGCCCTCACCCCATCCCATCTCTTGCTCCGTGTTGCCCTTCTGCTTTCTGCCATGAGTTGAGGCAGAAAGAAGGCCCTCATCAGATGCAGGGCCCTTGACCTTGGACTTCCCAGCCTCCAGAACTGAAAGAAAGAAATCTCTATTCTTTATAAATTACTCATCTTAGGCATTCTATGATGCAGCACAAAACAAAGACATGTATATGCCACTTTTATTTTTTCAGTCGTCAGTTGGTGGACGTTCGGGTTGTGTCGACTCTGGGGCTGCTATGAATAATGCTGCTATGAATATTCATGCACCAGTTTTATGTGGAATATGCTTTTATTTCTCTTGGTTGCATATCTAGAAGTAAAATTGCTGGATCATATAACTTTGTGTTTACATTCCAACCAGCCATGTGTCAGGGTTCCAATCTCTCCACATCCTCACAAAAACTCGTGAATTATCTGGGTTTTTTTTTTTTTTTTTTTTTTTTTTCTTGATTTGGAGTTTCACTCTGTCACCCAGGCTGGAGAGCAATGGTGCAATCTCTGCTCACTGCAACCTCTGCTTCCCGAGTTCAAGTGATTCTCCTGCCTCAGCCTCCCAAGTAGCTGGGATTACAGGCCCCTGCCACCATGCCCAGCTAATTTTTGTGTTTTTAGTAGAGACCAGGTTTCAACAAAGTTTACCAGGCTGGTCTTGAACTCCTGACCTCAAGTGATCCACCCCCATCGGCCTCCCAAAGTGCTGTGATTACAGGCATGAACCACCAAGCCCGGCCATTAAAATATATATATATATATATTTGAAATGGAGTCTCCATCTGTCGCCCAGGCTGGAGTGCAGTGGTGTGATTTCAGCTCACTGCAGCCTCTGCCTGCCAGGTTCAAGTGATTTCCTGCCTCAGCCTCCCAAGCAGCTGGGACTACAGGCGCCCACCACCATTCTCGGCTAATTTTTTTTGTCTTTAGTAGAGACTGGGTTTCACCATGTTGGACAGGCTGATTTCAAACTCCTGACCTCAGGTGATATGCCCACCTCAGCCTCCCAAAGTGCTCGGATTACAAGTGTGAGCCATTCCTCCTGGCCTAATTATCTGTGTTTATTATTGCCATCCTAATAGGTATGGTGTGGCATCTCATTGTGGTTTTGATCTGCATTTCTCTGGGGACTAATGATGCTGAGGATCTTTTCATGTAATTATTGGCCATTTATATAACTTCTTTAAACTGTCATTCAGGTCGTTTGCCCATTTTATTTTATTTTTTATTTTTTAGTCTTGAGACAGGGTCTCCTCTGTCACCCAGTTCAGTGGCGCAATCTCGGCTCACTGCAGCCTCTGCCTACAGGGTTCAAGCCTCAGCCTCCCAAGTAGCTAGGATTACGGGTGGCTGCCACCACACCCGGCTAATTTTTGTATTTTTAATAGAGACGGAGTTTTGTCATGTTGGCCAGGCTGGTCTCAAACTCCTGACCTCAACTGACCTGCCCTCCTCAGCCTCCCAAGGTGCTAGGATTACAGGCCTGAGCCACCTTGCCTGTCTGGCATTTTTTTTTTTTTTTTTTTTGAGACAGAGTTTCACTCATGTTACCCAGGCTGCTGGAGTGCAATGGCGCGATCTCGGCTCACCGCAACCTCCGCCTCCTGGGTTCAGGCAATTCTCCTGCCTCAGCCTCCTGAGTAGCTGGGATTACAGGCACGCACCACCATGCCCAGCTAATTTTTTGTATTTTTAGTAGAGACGGGGTTTCACCATGTTGACCAGGATGGTCTCGATCTCTTGACCTCGTGATCCACCCGCCTCGGCCTCCCAAAGTGCTGGGATTACAGGCTTGAGCCACCGCGCCCGGTGCTGTCTGGCATTTTAAAAAGCTCCCCAGGTTGTTCTGATATGCTCCTGAGTTGAGACCCACAGTCCAGTGCTCAGATCTGTCCAGGAGAGTGGCCGTAGCACAGTTGTCTGTCCATAACCACCTCTAGAGCCTCTAGTTTCCACCTTGTTTCCCAGGGTCTCAGTCCAGGTAAGGCCTTGCTACTTTGTGGCTGGAGACTGTGTCTTGCCTTCTGCCCTGAATTCATCAGTAACTTGGGAAAGGGCTGTTTCGGAGCAGACCTGGGCTACCTCAGTGTTGGGGAAGGGCTTTGTCTTGCAGGCTGGCTGTGGGTTGCTTGCCTAGGAGTGTCTTTCCTGAATTTGCAAGGGGCTTGCTTCCGGGTTTGAGTTTACATGTGCCTGTGACCAAGTCTTGGAGGAAAGGTCCTATCGTAGAGTCTGTGGGTGGGTTCACTGTGTCTGTCCCCGTCGTTGAGATTTTTTTTTTTTTGTCTGGTATATATGCCTCTTGGGGCCTCTATTTATCTGTCAGGGTCTCCGATGGGAAGGTCTCTGAACCTGCGGTCTAACTCAGCCTTAGAACATCACTCCTGCTACCAATCCAAAAATTCCATCTGGGACAAGTCTCCCAGGAATGGCATAGGTGGGAGGGGGCCTCTGTCCAGGACTCAGGCGCTGGCTTTGCGGGGTGTCTGCTTGGGGGCCTCAGTCTGTGTTGGGGGCCTCAGTCTGTGTAAGTCTCCCTAGGCAGCTGCTCTAGGGCTTGGTCTGGAGGAGCCACTTCTCTCTGGCTCTGGCCGCCTGGGGATCCCTGCAGCTGAGGCCAAGGCTGGGGTGTGGCCGCCTCGGCGGCAGGCCGGCGGGCTGGGCTCGGGTGGGCCGGGGTGCTCCCTCCCTTCCACGGCCCCATCCCGGGTTCCCCCGTTGATCGCCCCCCCAATCCCTATCCCAGCGGGTCCCGGCTTCCTTACATGGTCACGGCCGGGCTTCCAGCTCCCGGACGTCCCCCGCCCCCCGCCCCCACCGGACACGGCCCCCGCCCTGCTCGCCCCGCGCCACCCGCCCGCGCCCCGCCATGGAGGACCTGGGTGAGTGGGGCCGGATCCCCGGGTCCGCGGCTCCTCACCGCTGCCTAGATCTGCTTCCCCGCCGTCGCACTCCCGCATCTCCCCATCCCTGTCTTCTAGCTCCTGCTTTTCGCCTCTGCCCGCGCCTGCTTTCCAACTCCACGTCCCCCTTCCTGCCTCTCCCTTCCTGCCTTTCCTGGGCCGGCCGCTCCCTCCCTTCTTTCCTCGCTCGGCTCCTCTATCCCAGGCTGCGGCGGATGAACAGGAGGTGCGGCGCCCGCGGGCGCCCGGGCGCGGGACTCTGGGGAAGGAGGAGTTAAAGGGGCCTCGGCCCGGGGACCGGGAAAGTAGACGGCACGGGAAAGTCTGGCATCAAGTTTTGGAGAAAAAAGCGGGCCTGCCTGCGCCAGGGTTTTGGGAGAGGTGTTACGGGCTCCTGAGCACGGTGGGGTCAGGTCCTTGAGGCAAGGAAGAGAATAGTAGCCCAGGAGGGCCTAGGAGCCCGCGAGGGCTTCAGGGTTTCACGCGGGTGCTCAGAGACGAAGACTGAAGGCAGGACTTCTGGGTTCTGGAAGGGAAAGGGCTCATAAGACCCGGATCTGGGGATGCAGGGATGGAGGGGGGTGTCTTGTCCGGAAGGGGGACACAGGTATCTCGTCCTCCCTATTTGCCGAGCCTGGGCCTGGAAGGCTGTGCGCTCCACGGGAGAGAGGGGCTTCCTGCCCCCGGCGGTAGAGGGCGCTGCTCGGTAGGGGTAACTGACGCGGTACCGCAGAGAAGCAGCCAATCAAAAGGCAGGTTCCAGCTAAGCGCTAGTAAGGAGCGCCGGGCGAGACTCAGGGGCCTGCGAGTGGCCAGGCTGGGCGGGGTCTGTGTAGGTAGCGGGAGGAGTTAGTGAGCGTGGAAGAGGGAGCGTCCAATCAGAAAGCTGGGGTCAGGCATGGGGCCAATGGAGCAATTTGGAGGGGAGCCAAGTTTGACTTGAGTGAAGAGCCCATTTTGACTGTATCAGAGAAGATGGGGAGAAAACAAAGAATCAGGAGAGTGGGTTTGTGCTTGGCTCCCAGCGTGAGCAACTGAGATGTTTTGGTCATAAATATTCCTTGCTATCCTTCCATCAGTGCTCTGCCTGGGTCTGGCCCTGTGACCTCTGGTCTTAATACTGGCTTCTGTCCTTCTATAGTACTGCCCACTGGGAACCCTGCCTTCTGATCTAATCATGACCCTTGTCTCTCTCCCTGATGGCTTCTCGCTGCAGACGCCCTGCTCTCTGATCTGGAGACCACCACCTCACACATGCCAAGGTCAGGGGCTTCCAAAGAGCGCCCTGCAGAGCCTCTCACCCCTCCCCCACCCTATGGCCACCAGTCACAGGTGAGATCGGATGTTGGGGACTGGGACAGCCACTAGGGCCAAGCTCGGCAGACCTGTCATCCCACCTGTTCCTCTCTGCTTTGTAGACAGGGTCTGGGGAGTCTTCAGGAGCCTCGGGGGACAAGGACCACCTGTACAGGTGAGGAGCCTGGCAACTGGGGCATAGGGGGCCAACTGAAGCTCAGGTGAGGAGCCTTGGAATCCCCACCCCTGAACCCAGGCTCCCACTCTGCTTCCCAGCACGGTATGCAAGCCTCGGTCCCCAAAGCCTGCAGCCCCGGCGGCCCCTCCATTCTCCTCTTCCAGTGGTGTCTTGGGTACTGGACTTTGTGAGCTAGATCGGTTGCTTCAGGAACTTAATGCCACCCAGTTCAACATCACAGGTACCAGGTTGACTAAGAGAGGATTTGATTGGATGGGGGCAGGGGAGGGAAGGGCAGGTCAGAGACTAAGGGGAATACACTTCCCAGAGCAGCAGTTAAAGGGACCTAAAGCCTCAAGTGGGAGAGTGGGTTGAGCACGGCCCTATGTGCAGCATCCTCCTCTCCTCTCTCCAGATGAAATCATGTCCCAGTTCCCATCTAGCAAGGTGGTTTCAGGAGAGCAGAAGGAAGACCAGTCTGAAGACAAGAAAAGACCCAGCCTGTGAGTTTGACGTCATTGTCAGGGCTGAGAAGAGATGGGTCCTGGATGTCTGAGTCACTAGAGAGAGCCTTACTCTGGGAGGCTCTGAGATAACACAAGCATGTTCTTCACAGCCCTTCCAGCCCATCTTCTGGCCTCCCAAAGCCTTCTGCCACCTCGGCCACTCTGGAGTTGGATAGACTGATGGCCTCACTCTCTGACTTCCGCGTTCAAAACCACGTGAGTTGGGCAGTGGGCCAGTGTCCATTTGTAGCTCCCCAACCCCTTCTAGACCCTTCCACATCTGCCGCCTTGCTGACTCAACTCTCTTGTCCTCCCTGCTGCAGCTTCCAGCCTCTGGGCCAACACAGCCACCAGTGGTGAGCTCCACGAATGAGGGCTCCCCATCCCCACCAGAGTCGACTGGCAAGGGCAGCCTAGACACCATGCTAGGGCTGCTGCAGTCTGACCTCAGCCGCCGGGGTGTTCCCACCCAGGCCAAGGGCCTCTGTGGCTCCTGCAATAAACCTATTGCTGGACAAGTAAGTGGAGCCTTGTGAGAAGCAAGGCAGAGACCTGTCACAGACCCATCTTTACTGAGAGCCAGGCTTTATGCTGTTCCTTTTAATAAGTAACTCTGGGAAGTGGGTATCATTGTTGCTTATATTTTATGAATGAGGAAACCAAAGCTCTGAACCACACAGCAGGTTAGTGGTAGGATGAAAATTCCAACCATGTTACCATTTATTGTGGTCCTACTCTGTGCCAGGCACTATCCCATCTCCTTTACAAACCCACATCTCATCTTATCTTCACAAAACACTCAGTGGCTTCACCCACCATCTCTCACACATCTACGAAGACTCTGTCTTCCTCCATCAGAGTCTGGACTGGGGTCACTGGTCCTTTGCTTAGTGACTGAGCAGATGTGATTGACAGCAGCTGTACCTAGCGGTTAACCTAGTTTCTCCTGCTAGATTAAGTACCTGACTCCCAGTGTAGGATTGCCCATCTCAGCAAAGCAGGGTGACATTGTAACTTTTGTGGATCATAGCCACTTTCATCTTCATGAATCCCTTCGTCCATTAAAATAGTTTTTTATGCCTGTGTTAGTGTGAAGATAGATATGTTATTATTATATATTAAAGCATTTTCTTCCAGTTAATATTTATTATTATTTTTTTTTGAGACGGAGTTTCGCTTTTGTTACCCAGGCTGGAGTGCAATGGAGCGATCTCGGCTCACCGCAACCTCCGCCTCCTGGGTTCAGGCAATTCTCCTGCCTCAGCCTCCCGAGTAGCTGGG